ACGATGTGCGTAAATTCGTCGATGATGACTATGTTGCCTCGAAGCCTGCAAGTTTCTTTCGCTACGGCATCCGTACGTTGGCAGAGGAAATACTCGAGGTCATAGATAACGGTGGGCAATATTCCCAAGACCAAGTTCGTTGTTCCCTATTTTTTACATGAAATAAATTTGGTAAAAAGTCTTCATAAATTGGATCATTCGTCTGTTATTACTTTCTTGGTGTATTCAATCTAACTGTTGGTAATTCGAACAGAAGTGTACCTTCCAATAGTGATTTTGACAGTGCTAATAGACGTATAACAAACATAAATACAGGCAAAGGTGGTGTTCAAATCAAGATATTGCTTCAGCCATTTTAAACTAACCGATGACTTAAAGGTGAGTAGTGAGCTAAGGGATTGGTCGATTCAACGAATTGTGAGAATCATCTGCTGACCAATAATTACTGGAGTCTTATCAATAATATTTTGTCTAATGTGAAAATTTCTAACTTCTCGCAGATGGGTGAGATTAATCAATATTATTTAAAAAAGGCATTTAAAATCTGGAAAAAAATTTTACAGGGTACGTCATTATTTGTATAGCATTGAAAATCCAACACGACGGTTTAAAAAACAAACAAACATTTATTGGAGTGTTGCTTCAACACTGCCAAGTGTGAACCACACTCGCATAATCGCACTGACCTATAGGCATTAACAGTCGTATATAGAAGACAAATCCCGTCTCACCAGGCGACCACACCCATTTAAATTTTTACTTCGTGCCAGATGCTTGCTGATTACATAATCCCGCTCTCTCCTTTCTGGCAGTCTCTGTTATCTAATTAGGCTTTTTCCGTTCATTTTTAAGTAGGCAAATCGAAATCCATGCACATCCAATCTTTTAAAGTGCGTTAGTTAAACAGATTTTAATAAATTTAAGCGTCAGCGAGTAGGAATGTCTGCGTAGAGTAAATATTTGATTCTCTTGATTCAGAGACAGCACAGGAATTATCCATTTTGTTCACGTCGATGTACTTTGGCACTGAATATGCTGATGTGCAATTTCAAGGTTCAATTTTAGAGGGGTTTGTCTGTCAAAAAGATATTTTTTTGACCCATATTGTTGAATTATAGACTGTTGTGCCTAGAAATCGATACGAAACTCCATGCACAAAATTTAAGCATTTTAATTGGTTGGGAGGGAATGAGATTCCAGGCAAGAGCCGATACAAAAAAT